ACCAAGCCCCACAGGTCCGCCCTTCCTCTGAGCCGAAACGCTGCCACTTCTGGACCCTCCACGCCGTCCTCCGCCTCCTCCGACACCCCCACCCCCTCACCCCTCATGGCTGCTTCCAGGAGTTCACCCCTTCTTGCCCCCCTGCACCAGCAGCCTTTCCTCGTCCCACCTCCTACCTCCGCTCACCAATCAGCAGCGAGCGCTCACGGTGCCTTAACTCAGTCGCAGCCGTTCTCGCTCAGAAGAACCAATCAGCTGTGAGGAGCTGCCTTCACTGTGTGACTCATACAAGTGATCTGTTCGTCTTCTGTTTTTTAAAACTTTTTTATAGATGTATCACATTTTATATTGTAAAGGACAAACAATTGGTCAATATTTGACTCTAACTTCTTCAAACTGTATTTTTTAGAATCTCACTTTTTCTAAAGCCTTTGTACGAACGTTAAACTTGTTAAACGAGGTGTGGCACGAGGGTTCGATTGTTTAAAAAAGCTTTTTCACTTGGTAGTTGTGAGTGTTGCTTCATTTTCTGGTTCCTCCTTTGTGTTAATAAATATTCACTGAGTTCTGACACGTCGTCTGAGTTTGAGTCTGCAGAGGTTGGACGTACGGGAAGTGAGATGGTTTGACACACACACGTGACACAGTTTGTTTCAGAGGGAAACTAAAAGTGAGCGAAGGAGATGAAAATTCATCACATCACACTAGAAAACAAAATAACAGAGAAACCAACAGATATGCAGGAGTTACTATTCTATATTTACACTTATATGTTTATATAATTACAATATATAGTTTGAATCCTGAGGTAAGAGGTGGATTATTGATGTTTTAAGATTTATGGATTCATTTATGGATTCGCTGATGAGAAAACAGCTGACTTGTTGGAATAAAAACGTTTTAAAATATTTGACTAAAATGTAAAAAATAACCCTGATAATAATTATAATAATTTAGTTAATATAATAATAACTATTATATTGATTTTCTGTCAGGAAACCTCACAGTGGGTCTAATGAACTTGCTCTGCAGGTGTTAAATCATAAAAGAAATGATCAGTGTATAAAACTTAATGGTTGAGTGTAAAGAACAACTGGAAGGTTTACTGATCTGTTCCAGAGAGAAGAAGTTCTGTGGTTTCCTCAGCGTCTGTCAGTCGATGTTCCTGGATGACTCTTCATCGCTGCAGCTCAGAATCTGAGGCTTGAATTCGAAGTAGAGATTTGTTGAGTTGTTAAATGAAACCAGTTTTAATTGTTGGTGGAGAAACGTTGACTCATGTGAAGAGCAAACTCCTGAGGGCGACGTGTTTCCAGCAGAATGAAGCAAGAATCCAGAGTTACGTAACCGAGGCCTCGACCAGCTCATGTGATCCTGCAGCAGCTCCGACAGGAAGCTCCATATATGGTGACGCAGGTGAGGCTGGAGGCGTGGCCTCACCTGTTGAACTGACAGAACACAGACCGAGACACTTCATCTTCATCAGAGCAGACGGAGGAGGAGCAGGATGCTGCAGTGGAGACGACTGATGGACGGGGACAGGCAGTGCAACCGGGCGCTGGTCGTGTCCGTGGCAGAGTTCGACCCCGGGGTGAAGCTGGGGAGGAGACCCGGGGCCCAGAAAGACGCCAAGAGGCTCCACAGGACCCTCAGCAAGCTGGGCTTCAAGGTGGAGCTCCACAGTGACCTGAGTGGAGAGGAGATCTACCAGCTCTTCCTCACAGGTACCACACACACACACACACACACACACACACACACACACACACACACACTCTCACACACACTCTCACACACACACACTCACTCCCTGAAGCTGTCGATGAATGATCCGTTTTGATGCTAACTGTAAATCCCTCTGCTTTTATTTCTATTCATATGAATGTTTCTTTCTTTATGAAAGATTTCAGTGAGCTGTCAAAGTTTCCTCACGATAAATAAATACAGACAGAATCAGCAGTAAATAAAACACATGATTTATTTTCTTATCTTCTTGATCTGAGTTTTCATTCTAATTTAATTAAATTACGTTTTTCTCTTGGAGCCTGACTCTGATATTAGA